CCCCAAAACCCCAAAACCCCAAAACCCCTTGGTTGAATCAAAATAAATATTGATTTTTAATCAAAATAAGTCATGAAAAAATATTCTAAGTTTCTAATATTATAACCACTTCATCGTTTAAATATATCGTGTATCTAACTATTACTTTTTGAATAACTTATATTCCTCAAGATACACGTAAATTAGTCTAAACTCATTTATCATCTACTTCTGTGCTATTTGTAACTAGCTTATTATTTTCCTAGGATTGAAATTTATTTGATGAAGCAATCTATTATATTTATTTTTCTTCCAACTATATTGGTATTTCAATCGCTGTATCTTACTACTATTCATTCTTTTACTAAAGTAGTAATGGCCCTAATGTATTAATCAATATTGCTCCGATAGGTGCAGTTATAATAATAGAAAGGACTGATATTGTTTATATTATCTTTCCATATTCAATCATCTAAGTATTGTTTTAATCTATAGCATCATTCAAAATAGCAGATCCTTATGTAGATAAGACAGCAGTCTTAGGGATCCATGAGATAGCCATAAACAATTTTTCTTTGAAATTGAATTTGACCTTGGAAAATTATGAGACTTAAATCACAGTTAGCAATCTTACTACTAATCCAGACATTATACAGACAACACCATAACCAATATCTGATTACCTCATCGCTGATAGATTCACAGCACCCCCAACGGAACTAAAATAAATAGGACCAAGACACCACTAAAACCATTTAAGCTCATTTATAGGTCTTGATTGCCCCCATGTTCTCTATAAGGTTATTCCGAATGTCAAACTCGTTATGTATTTAGCATTAATGAAAGATGATTCCTCACCAGAAACACCAATACCAATGCAACAAATAACTACAAAGCACAACTTGATATATTGTGTTAGATTATTTTAACATAGACATCTGAATATTAGTCCTGATAAACCCAATAGTATGCCTACTGCGATCCCAATTAAATTATCAACAAAAAGAAGTCCAATAGTTAGCCCATAGCTCTAGGTAGTCTACATACTGTTTTAATAATAGGCAATAGTCTAACATATACCAAAAAATATTATGCAATGAGTGTCTTCGAAAATCCCAGCCACAATTAATTAGCTTAAAATAGCTTTGTCTTTTCCATAACCTTGTCCATTCAAATATAGATGAACAGGTATCATCACTGAAGGCCCTAAACAAGCAATTGAATAACCAAGAGTAAAGCATAATGTAATGGGCATTTTGAATAGACCATAGCTGATTAGAGCAATGGTTATCACTTCACAGATTTAGGGAATGATAGAGAGAGCTGCTACAGTGAAGTAATTTCTCCTGATATTCATTAATAACCCACTTCTTGTGAGTAAAATTGATAAACAGATACTTTTTATAACTACAGTCCATCGAAGAGGGTAAGCATTCATTATTCCGCCAATATAATTTCTAGATAAGCATCCAAGTATTATCATTATGGTCAAGGATGGCACTTACAATACTTTGATAATTGGCTTCCATCTATATCCTTTAAAGCGTCCTAGAGATGGAAACTGAAATCCAAAGAAAATCCCTGTGAGTAGGGCTCCACCAAATGAGATAAATATTGCGATTGCAAGTGCGGAAACTTATTCTTTAATCTGATATTAACTTAATTTCATTAGTAAATTTTATTATTAACCTTGCAAAAACTGAATTAAATTAGCCAATAGTTATAATAGGTATTACAAATATGATTTACTTATTATTTATTTATTTAAGTTTTTTAACTTATTGATGATAGAAAATAGAAATTTTCATTAAGGGGTTTTGGGGTTTTGGGG